TTCACATGATATTTAAAAGTAAGCCATTTCTTTACAGTTGGCAGATTGAATTTGAACATGAATAATGCACATCAATATCTTGTGGTTTCTTTAACATGGGTAGGGGGACCCTAAGGGTTTGAATGTTTGTTTGTGTTTTGTTTTTTGTTTGTGTTTTGTTTTTTTGTTTTTTTGCTGGGTATAGTGAACTTCATTGATGGTGCATGACAAAATTGGGCTTCCTAAGCCCCTCCCCTTTTTTCAGGGGATCTGGGATGGAAACCATAGTCAGGAGATTCTCAGTGTGTTAGGGGGATCAATCTGGGGCAAGGAATTCCTAGCAGCTAAGAATTCCTCTTCCTGGGGCTGGTGGTCCAGGGGCTCTTACTCCTTAGAGGCCATGTGGACCATGCAGTCCACCACCCTGTTGTCATAGGAGACAACCCAGTCTTCAGTGTAGCCCAGGATGCCCTTAAAGGGGCCCTCTGATGCCTGCTTCACTACCTTCTTGATATCATCATATTTGGCAGCTTTCTCCAGGTGGCGGATTAAACCACAACTGACACATTGGGGGTGAGGACACAGAAGGCCATGCCAGTGATCATCCCATTCAGCTCAGGGATGACCTTGCCTACAGCCTTGGCAGCGCCAGTAGAAGCAGGGAAGATGTTCCGGGCAGCCCCTCAGCCATCATGCCACGATCCTCCGGGTGGTGGTGATGGCATGGACTATGGTCATGAGTCCCTCCACAATGCCAAAGTTGTCATGGATGACCTTGACCAGGGGGCTAAACAGTTGATGATGCAGTTGGCATTGCCGACAACCTTGAGGGAGTTGTCATACTTGTCATGTTCACACCCATCACAAAATGGGGGCATCTGCAGAAGAGGCAGTGATAGATGATGACCCTTTTGGATACGCCCTTCAAGTGAGCCCCAGCCTTCTCCACGATAGTGAAGATACCGATGGACTCCAAAACATACTCAGCACCAGCATCACCCCATTTGATTTTGGCAGCATCTCACTCCTGGAAGATGGAGATGGACTTTCCATTGATGACAAGCTTCCTATTCTCAGCTTTGACTGTGCCTTTGAACTTGCAGAGGGTTCATACTAGAACATGTAGACCAAATGAAGGGGTCATTGAGGGCAATAATATCCACTTTGCCAGTTAAAAGCAGCCTTGATGACCAGGCACCCAATGTGACCAAATCCGTTCACTCCGATCTTCACCATCATGTCTCAGTGTTGTGGCTGGCACTCTGCCCCTCCTGTCTGATGAACAGGAGGGGCAGAGAACCTGTTGTTGTTTTTCTTTTTCTAATTATTTTTTCTCACGAATGTACTCCAAATCAGGTTGTGCACATGCTAAATTTTCAAGTTTGAAAGTAGCCATATTTGTTAAGTTGCCATCAACTGGACCACAGACTGCATTAGTAATACAATGTTTTAGTATTTTCCCCAAATTATCTACCAAAGTAAAATGACCTCCAATCTCACTCTGATTGTGAAGTCAAGGAATTTTGAAGGTCTTCTTTGGACCTTCCACTTTGTTCTTTGTCCAAAAGGTTGGAAGATAACAGAATGCTTTAATTTATATTTCTATTTTCTCTTTGCTCTTTGAAGTGATAAACATCAGTAAAATACATCCAAAATGGACAGGTGAATAGATAAGATATGGAAAAGCTATGCTGGCAGCCATCCCAATATTAAGTTATATTAGCAACAGTATGACTTCCTAGAAAATACAGAGGGACATAGTTCCTTATGGTAAGAGCCTAAGGTGGCATCTCTGACCAGTGCTTCCTAAGGAGTATTTTAGTGACCAAATATAGCAAATGTCACTTTGCCCTTGGCCTCTGAGGGTAGACATTCAAGGTGAGCATTCCCAACTTGCCTTTAATAAACCCTCTGAGAGGAGGTTTCTACCCTGAGCCTTCAGACTCTCCTAGAGTAGGTGAGGAGAACCTTTATTGCAGTTCATTGATCTGCATTTTTAAAGGAAAATCTGAAGTGCACTCAAGTAAAAAGGACTTAGTTTATTTGAGAAAAAATATACAAGAACTAATAATTAAATGCTGTTCTTTAAACTAAGGAACCATAGATCTTTAATTACCAGGTGTACCGGTTAATAATTCGGATTTTGTAATCAAAGAAAAACAGAATAATTTCAAGAGAAACATCAAAAGTGCTTTATTCAAAGTAATGTCCATCACTAGCTACACATTTCCCCATCTTTCAGGTAATTTGTAGATACTGTCCCAATAGAACTTTCCTTGTTTTGAGGCAAACCATTCAGAGACCAAATTTTTCATTTCTTCGTACATTTTGAAGTGTTGCTCAAAAAGTGCGCAGGCCATCAATCGGAACAAGTGGTCATCTGAAGGAGCAAGGTTTGCTGAATACAGTGGGTGGGTTAATAGTTCCCAAGCAAGATCTTTTAACGTGTCTTTAACTGGTTTTGAAGTGTGTGGTGGTGCAAAGTTACTTTGCTGTACTTCTGGCCCATTCCAGTTGTTTTATGTTCAAAGCATGGTTCAAATTGATTATTTGTTGTTGGTAGCGATCAGTATTAATGGTTTCACCTGGTTTTAGAAGCTTATAATACACCACACTTTAGTGATCCCACCAAATGCAGAGCATTGTCTTCTTTCTGAAGTGATTTGGCTTGCTGTTGATGTTAATGGTTGACCTGGATCAAGCCATGCTTTTGTGCATTTGGGATTCTCAAAATAAATCCACTTTTCACCACCAGTCACAATTCAATGCAAAAAAGACTTTCTTTCGTGCTGTTGAAGCAACATTTTACTGACGACTTTTCGATTTTCCATTTGTCTTTTGTTCAGTTGATGTGGCACCCATTTTCCTTTCTTTAAAATCTTTCCCATTGCTTGTAAATCATTGGAAATTGTTTGCTGAGCAACATTTATTCTTTCTGCAAGTTGTTTTTGAGTTTGACATGCATCTTCATCCAATAAGGCTTGTAATTGTTGGTCTTCAAACTTTTTCATTTGACCTGGACGTTCTTTATCTTTCACATTGAAATCATAACTTTTAAAGCGTTTTTAACCAGCATTCACAGGTATCTTGAAATGGAGCATGTTCACCGTAAGCTTCCCGAAGTATATGATAACTTTCAGCAGCACTTACCTTCAAAATAAAGTAATGAATTAAAACTTTCCACAAATGCTTTTTTTTTTGCTCAAAATTCAACATTTTTAAGCATAAAACTATCTATGTTAACACCTTTAGAAAATTTGACATATGAAGTTTTGAAGCTTGCTGTCAATCCAACAAGATAGCATACATATCAAATTGCAAATATATCAACATATGTGTCAATCCATCTATTGAAAAAAATCTGCATTATTAACTTGTACACCTGGTAACAACTGCAACACATTCTGAAATATATTATATCATAGTTTTTCTTATGGCAAGAAGAAAGTTAGGAGCTGGAAGAGAAAACAATGGAAGGTACAAAGGAGGCATAAGGGGGAAAGCTAAGAAGAATGACCTAGAAGTAAAGAGCCTGGAAGAATAAAGAGAATGGGGAGAAAGAAGAACAGGAGAAAAGAAGTTTGGAAGTCCTGATGTCAGTTAGAGATAAACTAGTTTTTTCACAGCCTGATGTTGACTGAACTGTATGACCTCAAGATGTTTAGTCATTGTCTTCTGAAATGTATGCTAGATGCTGAATCTCTAAGCTTCACTGTCAGAAGTACAAATAATAACTAAGACCAGTGACACCTCCCAAGGTCATTGACAAAGGTGGATGAAACCAGGCCAGACCTACTGAGGTAAGGGAGGCTTCCAGTTCCTTCCTCCTCCAAGAATTGAGTGCTCTAGGTATACAATCTTTCCTAAGCAAGTAAGTGCCTCTTTCCACTGCCCTCGAACTTTGATCTCCATGCTTTGCCTTATCAACTTGGAACACTGGGTTCCGGTTAAGAAATCCACTTGGGCTGCCTCTATCTCATATGGTTTTACAGATCCCCCAAGTACCTGTTCTTGGCCTTCATCTTTCAAGACTAAGGTCCTGATCATTTCAGTCTCTAGTAACAGAAGGAGCTTTTGTTTATTTAGCAATGTCGGTGTGCCATGTAAATTTCACAACCACCACGAAATGACTGGGCTTGTTAGCTTCATTTGACAGCTTTGTAAACTGAAACACACAGAGGTTAAATTACTTGCCCAGGAAGGTTAAGTAACACAGTAAACCATAAAGACAGTATCCAAGCCCAGGATGTCTGACTCTAAAGTCCACTCAGTTGACCCGTGTCTTCTGTATTATTGAGCCTTCCCAATCTGACTTCAGGCTGCTACTCCTCTGCCTGTGTCTGCTCTACACCCAGATCATCGTGAACAGACTACAAGCTCCTCTTTGTGAAACCTTCCTGGACTGAATGCTCATCATCTTCCTGCCCCACATGAAGCTGCCCAGAGGTCCACACATCCCAGGACGAAGGCTGATGCAATTCTGTCACCCGTGCTAACCACATAAGTAGGATTCATTGTAAGAGAAACACTTGTCTAAAGTGCCATATTATCTCTACAAGAGTATCTCTGCATTTGTGATTTTAGTTGCAGAATAAAACTTCTAGAAATCATGAAGCCCTTCTAGCATATGGCAATTCGCTTAAGAAAACACCAGGGAATTAAGAGAAAAAAATTACCTAGAACTAAGAGAGGAGAGATGATTACTCTCCCAATACTATTCCACGTGGTGGTTATTCCCACAAATGTGCCTAAAAACAATGGGCAATGAAGGGAAGAATGGATGTTTTTTAAATTACTTAGGCCCTAGAATTTAAATATATATACTACATTAGGCTTCTAAGTGCAATGAACTCATAAAAAGTGACTATATTTGTATCAGTTCTGGAATTTCAGGTTGCGGAGTTACCTTCTTGGGATATCTTTGAGCAATCCATGTCCTTTAAAGAATGGTGAACCCATGTGTCCCAGCTGCCTAAGCAACCGAGAGGATTCGCTCACTTGGGCTTTCTTCTCTTTTCCAGATCTTGGCCATTGTGTCCATCCTGTTCATCGTACTCTCCACCATCGCTCTGTCTCTCAACACCCTCCCGGAGCTCCAGGAGACGGATGAATTCGGGCAGGCCAGTGACAACCCCCAGCTGGCACACGTGGAGGCGGTGTGCATTGCTTGGTTTACCATGGAGTACCTGTTACGCTTCCTCTCCTCGCCAAACAAGTGGAAGTTCTTCAAAGGCCCGCTCAACGTCATCGACTTGCTGGCCATCTTGCCCTATTACGTCACCATCTTCCTCACGGAGTCCAACAAGAGCGTGCTGCAGTTCCAGAACGTGCGGCGCGTGGTCCAGATCTTCCGCATCATGCGCATCCTCCGGATCCTGAAGCTCGCCAGGCACTCGACGGGCCTGCAGTCCCTGGGCTTCACCCTCAGACGGAGTTACAATGAGTTGGGCTTGTTGATACTGTTTCTGGCCATGGGGATCATGATATTCTCCAGCCTGGTGTTCTTTGCGGAGAAGGATGAGGACGCAACGAAGTTCACCAGTATCCCGGCATCCTTCTGGTGGGCCACCATCACCATGACCACTGTGGGCTACGGCGACATCTACCCAAAAACATTACTGGGGAAGATCGTGGGCGGCCTCTGCTGTATCGCTGGGGTCCTGGTGATTGCCCTTCCCATCCCAATCATCGTGAACAATTTCTCCGAGTTTTACAAGGAGCAGAAACGCCAGGAGAAGGCAGTGAAAAGGAGGGAGGCTCTGGAGCGGGCCAAGAGGAATGGAAGCATCGTCTCCATGAACTTAAAGGACGCCTTCGCTCGAAGCATGGAGCTGATTGATGTGGCCGTGGAGAAGACAGGAGAGCCGGCCAAGACCAAGGACCCCACCGACGACAATCACCTGTCGCCCAGCCGGTGGAAGTGGGCCAGGAAGGCTCTGTCGGAAACCAGCTCCAACAAGTCCTACGAGAACAAGTACCAGGAGGTTAGCCAAAAAGACTCCCACGAGCAGCTGAACAACACCTCCGCCTCCAGCCCGCAGCATCTGAGCGCGCAGAAGCTGGAGATGCTGTACAACGAGATCACCAAGACCCAGCCCCACGGCCATCCCAACGCGGACGGCCAGGAGCAGCCCGAGCGGCCGTCAGCCTACGAGGAGGAGATAGAGATGGAGGAGGTGGTGTGCCCGCAGGAGCAGCTGGCCGTGGCGCCCGCCGAGGTGGTCATGGACATGAAGAGCACCTCCAGCATCGACAGCTTCACCAGCTGCGCCACCGACTTCACCGAGACCGACAGGTCGCCCCTGCCCCCGCCCTCTGCTTCCCACCTACAGATGAGGTTCCCACCCGACCTCTTCCCGGGCACCGAGGAGCCCCACAGAGCCAGGGGCCCCCCTTTCCTGACACTCTCCAGAGAGAGAGGCCCGGTGGCCCGGGATGCCTCCCTAGAATACATCCCGGTCAATCTAACTGGGCACCTCGATGCCAGCGGTTCCCAAAGCGGGCTCCACGGCCCTGGGCCCTCTGACAGTGCCCCCGAGAGCCCTCGGAGCTCCCTGAGGGGCAGCCACCCCCTGAAATCCAGGTCGTTCAAAGTGAATTTCAAGGAGAACAGAGGCAGTGCCCCGCAGACCCCGCCCAGCACGGCCAGGCCGCTGCCGGTCACGGTGGCCGACTTTCCCACCGCAGCCCCGCAGCTCATCAGCACCATCCTCCTGGAGGAAAACCCCCCGCAGGCCGACAGGCCCCTGCTGGGGACGGAGGTGTCCGCGCCTTGTCAGGGACCCGCCCGAGGGCCGAGCCCCCGGTTCCCCAAGCAGAAACTCTTCCCTTTCCCATCGAGGGAGAGGAGGAGCTTCACCGAGGTGGACACCGGGGACGACGATGACTTCCTAGAGCTGCAAGGGCCCGGGCAGGCCGGGCAGGCCGACCCCAGCCCTAACTGCTTCGCCGAGAAGCCTAGCGATGGGAGAGACCCTCTGAGGGAAGAGGCCTGTGCAGGTCCTTCCTCCCCCCAGGACACAAGTCACAACTGTAGGCAAGACGTTTACCACCACGCCGTGGCTGACGTGCAAAAGGACAGCAGCCAAGAAGGGTGCAAAATGGAAAATCACCTGTGCGCCCCAGAAACACATTCCAACCCAGGAGACACAGGTCACTGTCCCACACGTGAAACCAGCATGTGACTAGTTACAAAAGCAATAAAAAAAGAAAAAGAAAAAAAAAACTTGTTTCTTAAAATTACGGTTAATAATGCCTGTGAACTAACACATGGGACGCTCGCCTCCTCCCCTCCCCCTCAAAAAAAAAGTGCATAAAATGTTATTTTTGCATGGCATGAGCAGTTTAGTTTAAGCACTGTTTAAATAAAGAGCCAAGACTGCTTTTTTGTAACAAACAGACAAAAATGACTGAGGATCGGTGACCAAATAAAGAGAGCTCTGCTAAGAGCCGGTATTCTGCAATGTCTGACATTTCTGATCCTTTCATTTCAAATTGTAGACGGATTCTCAACTGGCAGCTTTCCTGTTACAGTGGATTTTAGAATTTGCACATGAAAGGATGAAATGTCATTGCATGGGTTCCTAAGGACGAGGAGCGAGGCGTGCCCTGAGCTTGCGAAACGCCTACCTTTGTGAATAGCGGGGCCCGGGGTGCAAAGGCCCCCAGAACCTCTGGGAACTGGTTTGTGAGCACAGGGCTTTCCTCCGGGCTCCCGCAAGGAGGGGGGGGGGGGGCGGGGAGCGGACAGACTTCATGTTGCAATATTGCAACCTCTTCTTAAACCATCTCCCATATCTTGCTTTGGGTTATAAAACTCTTCTGTTTAGTACATCTGTTTAGAGGAATACAGTATTTTTATTTCTTTGTGCTATCATTCCTAAGGGTGCATTTTTTTTCTTTTTGCCCCTGCTTCGTTATGGTATTTGTGGTTTTATTTATCTATTATGAACATAGGCAAGATTTAATGACCAGATATCAAAACACTTGGAAGTTAAGCTTGAAATGTTGCCATCAATTATATGTCATGCCACAGCAAAATTACAGAAATGCATTTTTTTTTAAACACTTGAAAATAAGGAAATGGTTATATCATACAGCTAAACGTTTGTTTCATGGCACTCCGCATTTGGACATCAGTTTTGGGTGTGTTGTTTTGTTTTAATTGTATGTTAGCCCTCTGGAGATGCCTGTATTTTCTACTTGAACCAAACATAATCCTTCCTATCTAAAGATCTAAAGATAGAATGCGCATATGCCAAATGGGAATTCCAAAACGTGACTTTTAACGAACAACAGAGCTATTTAAGTGAGAATGATATCCCCCAGAGAATTGGATTAAAAAAAAAAAAAAAAAAAAAGTTACCAGAGCCCTAGCCAGTTTACTCAGTGGATAGAGCTTCAGCTTACGAACTGAAGGGTCCTGGGCTCAATTCAAGCCAAGAGCATATGCCTGGGTTGCAGGTTCCATCCCCACTGTGAGGCATGCAAAAGGCAGCCAATCAATGATTCTCTCTCATCATTGATGTTTCTATCCCTCTCTCCCTCTCCCTTCCTCTCTGAAATCAATAAAAAAATATATATATACATATATATATGTATTGATATATATATATATTTTTTAAGTTACAGGAAAAAGTATTCTGAGCTGGTAATGGGTCATAGTATTTCCCAGTGGCGGGGAGGGCACACTGCGACTTTGGGAGGGCCACAGATGCCAGCAGCACCCTCCAATAGCTGCAGGAAGTAGGAACACCCACCACTGTGTTTCCAGTGTCTCTTAGGGATGGTCAAGCTTACCCTGGTGGAAACCACTTCCAGGATTTTCTACTGAGAACAGTGCAGTCCAGAAGAATTAAGCACTTGCTTTGGCCGCCCTGCTGGTAAAGACCATGCTGGAACCCAGATCATTTGAATCGGTTTGCTTCACAGAAAACCAAGGCTCTGGCCCAGATATGCAGCTACCGGAAGTGTGATTCTGGATGAGCCTCAAAAACTCCCCTTGGTCTCAGTTTTGCCCCAATAAAAACCTAGACAAAATTATTCCTTAAACCTTCAAATTAAGATGGTTCATTGGTCTCTCAGGAATGTCCAAGCTTTGCCTCCGCATATGTCTTTATCAGTGTGTGTGTGTGCACGCGCGCGCGCGCGCGCGCACGTGCACGGAGGGAAATAGGGAAATTCTGGGCCAAATTTAAAGCACAACTTTTTGTTTAAAGAAAGAAAATATTCTAAGTTGGTTTCTATTTTTAAAATGTAAAAACCACTGGAAAAAGACAACCCAAATATTTAGAATCTAACTTAAGGAATAACTTTCCTTTATTAACAGAATCTGGTCATTATGTCTCAGATAATAAAACAAGTCAATCCTAGTTGAAACCCAAGCTGCCCTACTGCTAAAAAGAATTGTAAACATTTCTTTTGCACTGTTCTTAGAATTTCTTAATGGTTTTTATGTTTGTTTCAGAACATAACCTTTAAGAGTTTATGGTCCTTCGTCATTGATATTTCCATTACTCATACTTATTTTAGTGTCTAAAACTAAACGTCGGTCAGTTTTTGTAAATCTAGAGTGTTTGAATTCCCTATCTATAGTTTTTCTGTTAGATGAAACAAATTATGCAAATAATTGTCTTTATATCAAATCTCATGAAGCAATTATCTTCTAATGCCATATTGTTGAATCTCAATTTTTAAAAATGTATCTGTCTGCACAAGTGGACTTGTCTTATCTCCCTGACAATTCACTGATGTCCATCCTTCATCTGCCCATTAGGCCTTCTCCTGAGAACCCCGCCCCAGAATGCTTCATATTAGAGACCTTGCCTGGATTAGGAATCCTAGCCAATCCCCACTGGGAACATTTCTTCATAAAAACTCTTCCCCTTTAATTTTTTTTTAAGTTTTAAAGAATTTTCAAGAACATCCACTTGAAAGCTTAACCTTCTGTTCCAAGCACTTCCAAGCCAAAGGTCTCAGCTATGAAAAATAATAAAATGCTCCTCAAAAAACACTTGGACTTTGGTGTTTTACAGGAAGGCAATGTGGGAACTGAGGGCTCCCAGGATGCACTTGGGCAGCGCTTCTTAAACCTTGTCCATGAACTGCCCCCAACACAGAGGATGCACGTGAATGTCCTGAACAGTCTGGGAATGTACTGAGCACAGAGTTCTTTTAAAGTCTTATGTTTTACATTAAAAATTCATGGAAATGCTGCATTTTGCTCCATATCATATGTTTTGATATTAAAGCAATGATGTTTTATACTATTTATCAGCTAGGAAAATTGGTACTCATAACTTCAAATACCTCTTTTGTACCCATTGGAAAAGGTATCGTATGCCCAGTTTGAAAAGCACTGCCTGAACAAGGGGAAACAGATTGGTACCCTGAGAAGCTGAAGGTCCTGCTGCTGGGAGAACGTACTCATCGGCCCCGAGATCAGTGACCAGGACAGATGGCAATGAGTAAAGACCATTTGAATGCACTCCGAACGGTTCCTTTGGTTCTTGGGGCTGTTTCAACAGCCAGTGCAAGTTGCCACAAGATTATTTTAGATCAAAGACTGAGACCAATGATAAAAGGATAGAAACAGGTGCACAGGTAAACGTCTTCGGTTGGATCACAACTACAAGAGTGACCTACGGAGTGAGTCTCTGGAGTTGACCTCATAGGTCTCTAAACATTTTCACTAGAAATTTCTCCACTCTGGCACAAGCATTTAGATTAAGCATTATCCTGATGGGACTGGGTTTAGTAACAAGCAGAATCTGGGCCAAGTGTCTGTTCCCATTAATTTCTTGTCAAAACTGTCTCACATGGAGACACAGGCTGAGGAAAGTTAACAACTCAGCTGTTATCTCTTGGAATATGAATAGCAAACAGAAAGCCGTATGTGTGTCAAGTACTTTACGTTTCTTGTTGCTCTTACTCTTTATAACAGCCTCCTGAAATGTTTATTTATCAGTGAAGGATCGGAGAGGTTATTATGTATTTTGCTCAGGTTCGCACAGGTCACTGGGCACAACTACATCGTCTTTCCAACATTCCAATATATTACTTGATTAGGGTTTTTTTCTCTCTCTCTCTTCATAACTGAAATTATGTAAATAAAACAGAGATGCATTTATAGTCAAGTAGTTCGTTTAAAGCAACAGTGACTCAGACCAGGTGGTGATGACTGAGGATAAATGCATCTTTAGCACATATGTTTGCCACTTTAGAATTCTGCTCATAAGGTACGCATCTCTGTTAAAGGAGAGAATTCATAGCTATTGATGAAACATGAGGCAGAGGGCTGAAGGAAGCCACTAGATTTTCTGAAACAAAAACAGGTATACTTTAGAACTGCTTCTAGTCTAATTTCAAAAATCAAATTTGTGATTTCCCTCTCCATTCATTCCACAGGTATTAGGTGGGCATCCCTATATTATTGACACTAGGCGAGTGCCCCAGGCACCGGGCTTGGTGCCAGGGTACAAGCCCAGCCTCATGGAGCTTCCTCATGGAGCTTCCTGCCTGGCCCACTTAAACCCGCCTAAGGATCACTTGGGTTATTGAAACATGTCTCTTCTGGTATGGAAAAATCACTCAATTATCAAACCAAGAAAGCATATGACAGGAGTAAGTGAAATGCTTTTCCAACAAACTTTTGGAAATTGATGGGTGGTATTAATGGAAGTCTGATCCATAATTATTTTTTCTATTTTTTAAATTTTAATTTAATGTAATTTTTCCATTACCCTTTATCCCTCTGTGCCTTCTTCCACCTCCATCCACCCCTCTGCTCCCCCGCCAAAATCACCACTCTGTTGTCCATGAGTTCTCTAACACACAATTATTTTTTCATCACAATTTAGATTTACACTTGAGAGAAAAAAAATTGTTAGTCTGGTTCAGCGAGGTTATATGTCATCTTTCCTTATTATCTGATAGGTTGAAAAATAATTTTAGTTCAATATGGTGTTTGTCAAATTGCTAGTAATAGCCTATAACTAATAGCTAAAGCAAAATGTAATGCCAGTGAAAATCGATAACGAACTTCATATTTTAATAGTGTGTTGATGGTTATGTGGTTAAAAACAGAGCAGTTGACTGGTTTTTCTTACTTCCTATTGACATTAGGCAACATTTTAGAAATGTGCCACTATTTTCTATTTAATCCTCTAAATTTTAAATGGAAGGT